AATTCCACTATATAGTCCCCGCTCTATATAGTGATTGAGGGATTTAGGGGCAACTTTTAAACAGAGTGTGCACAAAAATAAATAGGCTTTTGCATGCTCTCACATGCATTTAACAGGTGTTTCCCCTCAGGAGTGGGTACAGGGTTGCGCATGTGCATTTTTGTTGAGTAAGTGCTGGTAAGTGCGGCCATTTTATCCTTGCCACTTCTCTGGTCTAAATAAGCTTAAATTCTGTTAAACCTGATGTCATGTTTTAAAGTCGCTTAATACATGCACATTAGAAAGTGTTATTTAAAGTGTTTTTTTTTTTTTTTTTACAAGTGATCTCTTTCAGGTAGGAATCAGGGAGAGGGAGGCAACAAGGTGTATACACTTAGCTGTTCTGTACAAATTGGTGTTTCCATGTTTAAATTAATAAAGTAATGACTCCAAATAAAACATATTTTAGTTAAAATTTCTTGAGTAAACTAGTGAAAACCCAACTAAACTAAGTGACTATCTGCACAGAGGAGAAGAAAAAAAAAATGGCTGAAAACCATAATTAATTAAATGATGCATTGAAATCAAAGTTTGGCATGGAGGAACAAGATAAAATTAACTTTTAACAAGTTTTAAGCAATTGGAATATCATCTAACCAATTCACAGTGTGAATCCAAGGAGGCAAATAAAACATTATATGGTAAAATAATATTAGAAGGATAATGGTAGAGAAGACAGAGAGACGTTATAAACCATGACTCGGTTTCCTGGCCATGACCCAGTGCTGTCAGAGTTTTTGGAGAACTAATACATTTGGCCAGATTCTTAAAAAGAAGAGCTGCTACATTATCAATACAGTCCACACCATTTTCAGGAAACACCTAACAACTACAGTTGGAATAAAAAAACAAGCAGCTGAAAATGTCTCTGCTTGTCACATGTCATCACTGAAATACATCAGATTCTGTGCAAGAGAGTTGATAAAAGCCCTGTGATAAAAGACCCAACTAGGTAAGCTGATGGCTTTTAAAGGTTTTAACTTTTCCGTGACGCATGGAATTTAGGCTGTCGCTTATCATGATCATGCTGTTCGAACACATATTGAATGAAAACCTGTAATTTGCATAAAAGAAAAACATTAAAAAAAGACCACGTTAGAAAAAAATTGACTGACATAGACAAGAAGAAGACGGATAGAAATTGAACTTTATTGATCACAATGGAGAAATTAACTTTGCATTTAACTCATCCCCTCGGGGAGCAGTGGGCTGCCACTTTGCAGCGCCCAGGGAATAACGGACATCTGAATCAATCCTTAGATGGTCAAAAATAAAAGCTAAAGCCAGGTTTATTCCCTCTCTTCCCAGATTGACTGACATTTACAGGTTTTAGCACTACATGACTGTGTGTTGTTATAATCTTCCAGCATAACTTCCTGACATTTTAGCAGCCATGTGCCATAGCTCCTTTCCCGACTAAGTTGTTCCTGGCCTGAGGCAGTGAAATGTGAAATAATTTCACATAAGCCTGATGTTTCCTGGAGAAACTCAGACTGCCAGATTTTAACATATTTCTGACAGTCATGGAGAAATTTGTCTGCGCTCATGGCTTATTTTATACTGTCTCCTTTACTAGATATTTATCTCATGTAGACAGTTGAATTGTAAAGTTCTTTGAGTTGACATGTGTTGTGAATTGGCGCTATATAAATAAACTGAATTGAATAGAATTGACTGACTGTTAATATAACAGTATGTATTTGCATATAAGGGACGAAAAAATACAGAAAATAAAAAAAACATTGTATGTCACTTTTCTAGTTCCATTTATAACTTTTGAAGCAGAATCACAAATAACCTGAAGATGAGACATCATAAATTGGTTAATTCCTAGATAAAGAGAATAACACTGATCTACCTTTAAGACAATTAAGAAGAGGTAAATGGTTGCATGTCACTACAGTCATGTTATTTCAGTATGGTTAAATGCTGATAGGAAACAGGCAACGTAAAAGCAAAACAGTTTTAATTGAAAAAAAAAAGTGAAATATACATAAAAAATCCTACTGAATAGGAGTAACAGTTGTCTCCAACAAAAAAGAGCACAAATAGGGAGAATCCTGAAAATCATGAGAATCCTGGTTTGACAATGAAAAGGTCACCCTGATGAACTGAAAGAGAAACAGCTTTGAAGGGAAATCATTAGGAATAAAACATATAAGTATTTGGAGTATAAATACTCCAAAAAAAAAAAAAAAAAATTCCTCATGGGGGAACATAATCTTAAGATAACAACAACAGTGAATATGAAAAACTAGACCAAAACATAAATAAATACCAAAAAAAAAAAAAAAAAAGGGAATCAATTGAACCAGAATCCCATGAAAATATGTTGCTTTATTAAAGAATGATCTAACAAAAAAATAATATACCAAAATTATAACTGTCTAAAGACAGGAGTAAGTCATTATACCCTTTTAACAAAAACAATACTGTCATTACCTGAAATCAAAATAGCTTTCATCATTTGTTAGGATATGAATAGTTGACATTTGAAAACACATTTGGTAGGTCTGGTCCAACCTTGTTCTATAAAAGTCTAACTTCTATACATTTTATCTGCCAGTCTTCCAGGAACCTGGCCATGTTCTCAGCATGTGACTAAGATGTTCTCCTGCAGCTGTACACCAGACAAATAAAACCCTCTGAAGTAAAAGCTTTGATCCAACACCGACAAAAGCTCAAGTACTGCAGTTGCAATTTTTCTACACTTCTAGACACTCTTGTGTTGAAATTTGCATGCACTATAACTTCTGCAAGTATTGTGCATAAAATGCAGTAGTTGTTTGTTGTGTCTCGTCAGCTTGAGTAAAACTTGTTGCTGTTGAATTTTTCACAAATTGTTCAGTATATTATTCTCTTTTAAACTCATAAAAACAAGAGTATCAACTTTTATAAAATCTTTTTGATACATCGTTTGTGTGGAACTTTAATCAGAAAAACAGAAAAAGAAACAGAACATGTCTATGTATCTTTAGTTCTTAAAATCCTCACTACCATCTTCTTGTGTGGTTTAGAATTGAAATACTTCATGGAGGGCATATCTGCGTGGCCGGCCACTCTGACACACACAAAACCACTATCTCTAATGCACCCACTCTTGCTCATACAATTGCTGAGACACTCTTTTTAAACCATGCTAAACCTTTAGGCACAACAATACAGGCTGGACCTAATCTCATAACCCCCTGTCCAATCAGAGGGCTGGAAATTTGAGAGTGGAATTGATTGGCTGGTGGCCAAAGGGGCCAGTAATAGGGAAGGAGAACAAGAGGAGACAGCCATTGTTGATTGATTACCATGAAAAACACTTTTGTTGCTGACTTGAAGGCAGGACATTGGGTTTGTATCTGGAGGAAATGCTGGCTGTCTTAAAATGGGTCACTGCTAAACTAACCTGCATACAAGTTACTTCACAGAGATAGCAATGTATGCACAGATAAACCAACCCTCCTAGCAAGAGTAAGGTCTACAAATTATTAGCTGTGAGTAATATTGATTAGCTGCCGTTCAAAGGTTAACATAGTAATACCCTTGTTGAACAGCACTCTTGGGAAAACAAAGCAATGGAAAAAATAATAATAAAAGAAACTTTTTGGGAATAACACTCAACATTACTCAAAAGCTTGACCATAACTTTTTAAGATCTACAAAAGGCAATGCTGTCAGGAAGTCAGTAAAGGCTATCTCATCTTTCCACACTACAGGGTATGAAAAATGATCTAAGGGGTCTGAACATGTTTTCTCTATTGCCAGCTATTTGATTCCCGAGAAAATCAATCAGCCATGTCAGTGCGCACACCAATAAGTCAAGAGAGATTTTAAGTGTATCTCAAGAGTGTAGAAAAAAAAAAAAAACTAACAAAATCAGAGAAAAGCCAGTAATAGGAGTCAGTGAAATCTCATTCACTGTCCCCATTATCTGGACTTACTGTATATAAAAGGGTGTTCTCAGATAAAACTTTCATCTTTTTGATGTCATTTTATCTATGTGAACATTTTCTATTTCTTGATTTTTAAACGACAAAAAATAAACAAAATCACTGAGTTGTATTGGAGTTCACCTTTAGCCATGAACTCATGTGCCTGTCTCTGAATTTCCATAATTATATTCCCATAAGTTAATAATGGCAATCCAAGGATCAAATGTCTCTTTTCTTCTCATTAAAGTCAAAAGTGACCAGCTGGAAGATGTTTAATTATTCTGGTATGCTTTGGGGAAAGGTTTAGCTTTACAAAAAGGCTGCATTTACACTTAATTCAGAAGAGACAATGTATGAATGCATGGCACAGATGAAATTCAGCATGCATTAACACACTGAGATTCCACATTTTGTTTACAATGCTGTAGCCTTTAATTTGTTCTAAAGATGTAGGTCCTCACTGCCTCAACACGATGGAGGGAGAGAGTAACTCTTGTAATGCCGCCTAGCCACCTGTAGCTGCACAGCTATCTACTGTACATATAACCTCTCTAGTGCTGCAGCCTTTTCCCCACTAATCATTCATCCATTCCCCTGAAGTCTTTGCATGAGAGTTTAACTTGAAAATGCATGCTGCTGTATGCCAGTAGAGGGTTGCTGCCAGACTGTTTTAAGCTAATTAAGTGAAAAAAACTTAAATGCCAGAGACTCTTTGTTCTGTATAAAGGCAACTTCTTAGTTTTCAATTAGTTGATCAATGTTGGGTACCCTCTGACATTATCTAGTGTTCATCTAAGAAAAGTATGTTTGTGTATTTTAGATAAACATATGCAGCAGAGAAGACTTGCAAAAGAGCTCTCTCCTTTACTTTCTTTTTATCTAGCTCCAGAGGAGGGATTCTGTTGAGAATAAGTAGCAGAAGGAGTGTCCTGAACGCCAGTGGCAGCCTACCTCCATGGCTGCGATTGGCTGAGGCTGTTCTGAGTGAGTCCAGGGGAGGCCAGTAGGAAGATGAATGGTCTGGGAGCCTGTTGTGGGGGGGAGGCAGCTGAGGAGAGCAGTCACCAACAGCTCTTAAAATCTAGGTACTCCTCTTCACAGCCACACACTGATAGAAAGCAGGAGTGGGCTTTAGAAAGCATGAAGAGAAGATAAATGCAGGAGAGTGAGAAACTTGGATGATAAGAGGTCTTACCTGCGTGCTCACCTACCTCTGGCTGCTGTGACCCCTTCAAATAGCTGAGACTCCTGTAAAAAGAGAGGCTTTAAGGACAGCCTTTTCTTGAAAGAAGATATTTCAAAAGTTTTTTTCTGATAACTTTTGTTAATTTGTTTTTGTTGTTTTTTTTTTTCTTCAGTTTGCAGCATCCATTCTCAGGAGAGCAAAAAAGGATTACAGTTTGTAAGCCTGGCCACTTGTTGAAAACTTCTCTGAGCTTTCTTTCCCACTAGGTTGCTTTGGAGACTTCTGGATACATCCTTCTTGATTAACAGCTCTGAACTCAGAAAGGGATGGCATATGGACAAAATATCCCAAGGTTTGCTTTAACCCAGAGTTTATTTAGCCTGCCATTGGGCCTGTTGCTCTTCTCCCTTTTCCCTAACATCATTACCGCAGATGAGTATGACTACTACAGCTGGCAGTCAGACAACTTCCACAACGGTCGCTTCTACACCAAGCAACCACAGTGTGTGGACATACCAGCTGACCTGCGCCTCTGCCACAATGTGGGCTACAAGAAGATGAGGTTGCCAAACCTCCTGGATCACGAAACCATGCCAGAAGTCAAGCAGCAGGCTGGGAGCTGGGTGCCCCTTCTGGCCAAAAGGTGTCATGCTGACACTCAAGTCTTTCTGTGTTCGTTGTTTGCACCCGTATGTCTGGACCGGCCCATCTACCCGTGCCGCTCATTGTGCGAGGCCGTCAGAAACAGCTGTGCTCCGGTGATGGAGACCTATGGCTTCCCCTGGCCAGAGATGCTGTCCTGCGACAAATTCCCCATTGACAATGATCTCTGCATTCCAATGCAGTTTGCGGGGAACCACGCCACTCAGCCACCAGGTAGGTCCAGGATCTTCATCCTTACTACTTCATGACCTGCACACTTGGTTAACCTGCAGAGTTAGATTTTGACCAAATCTATAATTTCTGTTGTAACGATTCTAACACCTAAGCAAGACAAAACTTTGTTGCAGGTTCTTCGACAGGGCAATTTGTACCATAATCTAACAGGGATTATACAATTGTCCCCATATACTGTATATGTAAGCAATGCCCAAATATCTGTTTTTAATGAAACAAAACTTGCATAAAGTTGGTCATTGTCTTCATAAACTAAAGGTGTGTAAGCATGTTTTTATTTACTAAATAGATTCAGCGTTAATAGTATTAATTGACCATCTAATCACTGATAAAACTGCATGATGCTCTTAGATTATCCAGATCCATGGATGGCTGACAGGTCAATCTCTAAGGACAACTTTGATAAAAGTTTTAAAGGTAAAATTGTAACAAAGTTTGTTAAAAAAAAAAGTTTTGATTTGCATATTTTTTTCATAGACATGTTAAACCTCTTTTAATAAAGTGTTATATCAACATGGGCTTCCAATGAATGGTGTCTGAAAAAATGTTAAGTGAAATGCAGACACCCCTGTTAAAGAGGCTACTGTTAAAAAAATAAATCAATGAAAAAAATCTGCTTGCTTTAAAATAAGTAACCACCTGTTACCACTGCTCTAAATAAATGTGCAAGCTCTTTACAAAACTGTCATAGCACAAGGTTATGTGTATTTCCTGCAGTAGTTATGTGAAAGTTTAAGGAAGAGACAAGAGGAGATCAGGAACGAGAGACAGGAGCAGGATGAGTGTGAATGTGGGCTTTTTGAGGGGGGTGGAGGGTAGTTGAGTTGGCTGAAGGGGAAAGTTTTCAAGTTGACAGTTCAGAGCTCATACGCCTTCAGGGGAGGCGAGGATGGGAGACTAAGAGACTCCAGTTACCAGATTCTTCACCAAGTTAAGATAAATGCTCTGTGATGTTGTATCACAGCACACTTACATATGAGCACACTCACCTTTATCAGCAGAAACCCAGCCTCACCAAATCAATCAGTCTCACAAATGAGTTAATGGTGAATGTTTAATGTCACTTTAAGTAGCTCAAACCTGTCCTGTTATGAGTTACTGAATAAATAAAAGTACAATAAATAAAAATGTAACATTTAAACATAATACCAAAGCAAAAGTTCTAACGTCAGGGTTAATTGAAAGTAAAATGCATAGATCTATATTCATATTCTTGTTGTGTGTCATGCTATATATGCAGCCTCTTCACAAAGCAGACAGAGCGAAGAGAGACTCAGTGAGAAGGGGTCAGTCTGCATTGTGTCCAGGTCTACATGGTCTTTTGTTGGCTCTGGCAGACAGTGGGCCAATTAACTAGAATGCCAATTACTGAGCTCCGATAATTAGCCAAACATGTCGGAACAAGCAGGGTGGGTGGCGAATGGTATAACCACATTCGATTGTTCCTAAGAGAGATGAATTGAGAGCAATGATAGGAGGGGGAAGGAGGAGGGTGAAGAGAGGCAGCACAGAGTAAAACTAGAGAATAGCTGCTTGTTGCTGCAGAAGAATTGCCTGGCTTTTTGCTTTCTTTAAAGGTTGGAGGAAGGCTTTATAATCCTCAAATAACCTAGCATCACTGCTGTCACTGCTTCTTGATTTTTCCCTCCACACAGTTTCATTGTCTTTATTTATTCCTTTATCTATTTTTAAGATACCTCTAATTCCCTAAACCACTAAAATAAATGAGAAAAGCATATTAATTGTGCAGCTTTAGGGCATGCCTTGGCTTTTTATCACAAATGCTTACAACACTCTGATATGTAATTGTCAGCAAATACATTGTTAAAAAATGTGAAACTATTGCTGGATGATTCTCAAGTGAATTAAAACGAAACGGATTTGTTCCATTTGAGGAGAAAAAAGTTCTGCTCTATTTTCTTAGGAGTGGTGTCAACTATTTGACATTCTTGCTCTACAGAGTTCTAATTCTTTCTTGTACATGGCATCCATAAAAAGGAGAGCAGCTTAAAGTTTTATAATATTCTTAAAAGAGAGAAGCATTTTCTTACTTTAATTTAATTAAATAATGGTTAGAAGGTCTGAGCAAACTAATAAATTGATGCTTTTATTGTGTTTATTTTCAATAAAAGCTAGAAAAAAAGACGAACCAGATAAAAAATGACCAGATAATCATTATAAAATGGTGCACAATTTCACTGTTCTGTTTGTGTGGGAATTTTTTTGTGGCCAGCATGAATGTTTGACTTTGAAACTGAGATGAAACAGCTATAATTTCTCGCTTGGAGGCTTAGTGACATTTTGTTAAGATTCAAAGATTTTTAGATGTGCCGATGGGGCCATTCCGAGGCCAAGTATTTGGCTTACAAACACATACACACATACAAACACACCCATGCAGAAATACATAAATCCAGCCAGCAAAAATAAAACAGGAATTTCAGCTAAGAACTTTGAGAAGAGAGTTTTCTGGGAACCCTTAGTGTCACAGGAGGACACAGACAATTCTCCTCACTCCAGATCATAGAGAGAACCTCAAGTAATCTAGCCAAATGTCAGAGAGTCTTGACAATTAGTGGAATTATGCACTGTGCTACCTGCTGCTCTCCCTGACTGGGAGGCCCAGATGCTGTCAGAGCTATTCTGCAATTACACCATACATCACGGTTGGAGGGTGCCTGTGGAAACTCACAGGAGAGTCAGATTCACTTTCCACCTCAGTGCTACTGCAAAAAAGAAAACAAGGTTAGAGGGACTTTAAGACCACCTGAGCTCAGGTTCACTCTGGGCATGACTTTTTTTTTTTGGTGTGTGTGTGTGTATCATGTTTGTGTGTGTCTGTTTAAAATAGCATGTAATTGCAATACTCTTATAGTAATGTTGGAGATATCGGTTACAACGAACCCACATTTTTCAGCTCCTTTTCTTTCTTTTTCCTGATTCCAAAATTTCTAACCCCTTATAATTTTATATACCATTTAAATGTGCCAGCTTAAAGTAATGAATGACATGAAAGGTTTTGCCTGTCCTTACTGTTTTTTCTTTGATGTGGTCAGTTTAGTTTGCAACCATGTTACAAGGAGACAGGGAAAACTGTCAGGTCTCCAGCAGCACAATGGGCTCTTCTCATGTGACCCTGGCTGCCATATGAAAAGGAAAATGTGATCCAATGCTCTATGCTTGGAAGACGGCCGAAGCCTTTTGAGAAGACGTTTTCTTTTCTGTATAGGATTTCTTGAGATGCGAGGAGTGTGCTTTGTTTTAGGGCCCTCAGGGGGCCTGCCTCTGGGCCAGGTTTAAGCTCTCCTCTGTCTGTCTGCATGCCACATTTAAACAGATGTGAGGTCCTCACACATAAATCACATCCTGCATTTCATCTCTTGTACATAACTATTTCATGTCATCAGTGCTGCTGTTATGACTAAAAGGTTCAGTATGAGGTATAAGCCAAAGTTTGAGACATGTAAGAGAATCAGATTATCACACTGTTAGATCAGGTTGCCCTTTTTTGTAAGGACATGTGCATGTTCATGCCTGAGGTGAGAGACAGAGAACAGAAGCATACATATTCACACATAGTCCATCTGAAATTCATTCAGCTGCAATACTGTTGTCAATAAAGCCTGCCAAGAGCTGTAAACAGAATCTGTGATTTACAGTGCTTTTTTTTTGGTCTTCAAGTGGCTGTCTGCAGGAAACGAAAAGGATAGATAAATGTCATACAATGACAAAAAGGAGAAGGGATGTTTGTCTTTTTAGAAGCTTGATAATGTTCAATATCAAGTGTATTTCATAAAATGTAGGTAATTATTTTTCATTTTACAAATATTAAATTCAACGGATTTTAATGTGTTTTTACATTTAACAGTCTTTTTTTTACAGACTTAAAATTGACTTTTTTGCTCGATGTTTACCTTCAGAAAGTTGAAACAAAAAACTGTTAAAATTTTTTGACTGAACATTTAACAATATCAATATGACTTTACTGGAAATTCATTTGGAGGAACGACAGACAGCAGAAACAGCAGCAGCGAGGGACTGAATCAGAGAGAGTGATTAACTTTGGAGCTCTGACTAAGTAAAGTAGTGGAGTTAAATTCTTGGACTCTTGCCGCTCTCCATTTCCACTCAGGCTCTCTGTTTGAAGATTAACAGCAGTACTTTCAAAAGGACCACCTCCTTATTCATACAGCTCTGATCAGCCTTTTCCTCTTTCTCTTAATCATTGACCAGGAGTCTTCTCATCATCTTTAACAATAATTATATGAAGGCTAAAGCAGATTTGTTGGAGTCGCTGATAACTCTACAGGACTACAAAGCAGAAAATATCAGTTTAGATTTTTCTTCTTTACCTTGAGCTTATAAATAGCAAATAATGTTGGCAAAACATATAAATCCAAAGAAACAGGAAATACAAATAACAGACTAACCATGAGACTGATTGGTTCCTGAGAGAACATGATGGTAATTCCCCTGACAGACTCAAGTTATGAGGCAGTAGCAAAATAGAGATCTTTAGTCCAAGCCTAGTGAGTTTCTAGAGGGACTGTTTTTTTCTAACACATGCTCTGGCATCAGCATAGCATGGCATCCTGCCAGGATAACACCATGTGAAATGATTTACCATAGAGGTTATATAAGATGCAACTGTAAGAGTTATATTGCTTAGAGTCTTAATATTACTTGAACTTTTTCAAATTCTCTCATATTGCAACCATCATTTAAATGTATCTTATAGGGGTTTCCAGTATTTGACCAAAACATAGTGCAGGAAGTTAAAGGTTTCCTATATTGTTTTAACAATTAGAAAATGTTAATGATGAAAATCATTTGAGATTAGTCC